AACTCAATGTGCATGTGCTTCAACTTTTTCACTTTGAAAAGGTTATTTCCTCAGAGGCAGAAGCCACGGCATGGTGTGGGGAAATTGGGGTTCCTATAGCCAGGATCCTCATTGAACTTAAACCACCTGATGATGTAACTGGCCTGTTGCTAGGCTACCACTTCCACACCTGTAGGCAATAAGCTATTATTGCTCTATATAGAGAGCTCCGTCCTGTGCTCTGGGCAGAGGCAGAGACACTAGTGCTCCACCTACCGCCGGGAGAACAAGCCAGGTAATAAACCGTTTCACCCCAAAGAACATTTTGCTGTCAATTTCTTTGGTCACATTGAATCCAGAGTGAACTTGCCCGGGGCTGAAACCCATTGGCAAGACACATAGATAGGATTTTCTTTCATTCAGGGCCTGGCCTATTGCGGATGCTTAATAAATATTATAGATGCAGATGATGATATTGCACAATGAAGAGGTAGTCTTGAGCCTAAGATGACTCCCACTCAGGATTAAGGAAATAAAAGTTTTGTTTCCACACATCCTCTCACTGACGGTCCGGATCCAGAGAAATGCATGAGATTGGCCTCTACAGCTTCCCTACATCTACTGGCTGTATCCTTTTTCTGTGTAGAAAGCTGCTATTTGAATTGACTAGCCCATCATCCCCATGGGAATTCTTTGCAGTGGACACATGTGATGGGTGTTCCTAGGCATCTGAAAGTACAGAAGTCAACAGAATTAGCCAGAAGATTCCAAACACTAGCTCACACACTCAGGCTTTCTCCCATGAAAGAACTGTCTAGTCTGAAGTCAGAAACAGTTGTCCAAGTAGTTGCTGGTCCAGCCAGTCATGTAGCCACAGTCAGTCCTAAATATCTACTTAACAATTTGCATTAAACTCAGGATCTTTAGTATTCAGATAACAATGTGTACAAATGACATGAATTCTAGAGAGAACAGACAATAGTGTTTGTCTAAAGATGAGATGCTACCTGCCTGCCTCCCTGACCCAAGTCCACTGCAATCTTTAGGACTGTGGGCACACCATGAGCAGAGACTTTGGCTGAGAGGAAAAATATTTCTCTACTGCATGTTCTTTTATAGAGGGACAGTGGAGACACTCTAAATGTGATTCATTTCTGCAAGAGTGTTGCATTCGAGGAGCCAGTGGAAATAAATTCCCATTTTATAGGTGGAGAAACCTAAGTATGGACTTTTGCATGAAGCCCAGGTCTGTTAGCTCTCTAGGCCCCCCTGGAAGGGAATGTATGGATACATATCAATCATGCAGAAGTTTTCAACCAGAATTGTAGCGAAGTTCTCCATTATTAGCCTCCCTAGTTTATATTAATTAAAATGCCCTAAGCCTAAGAAAAAAAATTTTAAAGTCATTACATTTTCAATTCTGAAACTGAAATGCAAATTAATAAAAACAAACTTCTAGCACAAATATATGAAAAATGCTGCCACCAGCCTGGAGGTCTCATGCAGAAATGGAAGGAAGACACTTCCCTCCTGGTAACTTCTTAGTTTTTCCATTCAAGAGGCTCTAGATGTAGTAACTACTGTATCTTAATATCCCTCTGAGGAGAGGAAGAGGTGGTCTACCGGCGCAGTCACTGGCCCAAGGCCCAAGAGAGCTCCTGTGGATAAAGTGAAGGTTTCTATGACCAGAATTCTCAACTGGCCCGGGCTGGCTAGCTCATTACACACATGTGGGCAATGCACCATTATTGACTCTATATTAAGAGCCCTGCCCAGTGCTCTGGGCACCATGGTGGCACAGCTGCAAGGCTGCAGGAGAGCAGAGGCTGGAGTGGTGGCAGTGCCAAGGACAGAGACTGAGACGGTTGCATGGGTAGAGGGGCCCAGAGGCAGAGACTGGCTTGCTGCATGCAGACTCGCTCTGAGTGAGCGGGATTCTAGTGACTGACCTGCCACCATGGGAATAAAGTTGGGTATAACCCTTTCACCCCAAGAATGTTCTCCTGTCATTTCGTTGGTCACAATGAATCTATAGTGAACTTGCCTGGGGTTGAAACCCATTGGCAAGACAGCTCCAGAGGCAGGTTCTGGGTCAGCTCCAAATTCTTAATCCTTTCCAACAAAATGCCCAGAGGGTGGAAGGGGAAGGAGTGTATATTAAGCATTTGATGACTAATATATACAACATATTTTTGGAAATGTTGGCTTCGACCTACTTAAGAGGTTGATGTGTGGAGAGGATCAAGAGCAGGTGTTGAGACCCAGCATCTCTCACGTGGAGTTTTCCTTCCCACAGAGAGCTGCTGTGAGGACTTGGTGGCCTCTGCTCAGAGGTGATTTCAGTTAGCTTTGGGTTCTTGCCTCACTGTTGTTTTTAAAATGTGCATATCATTATCAGCTGAGGCTTCACCAAGCCTTTTCCCCTGGGTCTTCCTTGAGGTCAGGCAGCCTGCGTGGTGGGAGTGAAGCTCCCCTTCCCCCGCCCCCAGGCAGCTGAGGCACTGTGTCATCTCCTGCAGGCCCCACACGTCCCAGCTGCCTCTTCCCAGCCCTGTCCCCGCCCCACTTCTGTTGGGGCCCTGCCCTCAGATCCATATGCCAGCTTATCCTGACTTTTAGGGATATTTTTGGCCTAGATCAGTTTTTGAGGGGGAGCTGCTATGTGTTGAATTTCTCTCCAGAAAGTGCATGCCTCCATTTCATTCCTCTCCCTCCTCTCTTACCCCTCCTGCAAAATCCCTGTGGTGGGCAGAGTGATGAGCTGCTCCACACTCTGATGTCCCCCTACTAATCCTCAGAACCTGTGGATAGGTTACCTCACCCGGCCAAAGGGACTATGCAGCTGTGACTAAGTTAAGGATCTTGATGAAGCAATGATCGTAGAGGATCCCAGGGTGGAGGTGGGGGCAATGTGATCATCAAGTGTCCTTATGAGAGGGGGGTGGGAGCCACAGGAGATCTGATGATGTCAGCATAGGTGAGAGACAGAGAGAGAGGGAGATGGAAGGAGAGAAGGAGACAGAGACAGAGAATGAGACAGACAGGACAGAGTGACAGAGAGGCTAGAAGATTCTACTCTACTGGCTTTGAAAATGGACAAAGAGGCAGCAAGCCAAGGAAGGCAGGTGGCCTCTAGAGCTGGAAAAGGCAAGGCAAGGGGTTCTCTCCTAGACCCAAAGGAATGAGCCCGCCTAACACCTTTATGTCAGTCCAGTGGACTGTGCTGGACTTCCAATCCTCAGAACTATAATGTGCTTGCATGGGTTTTAAGCCACTAGGTTTGTGGTCATTTGTTACAGCAGCAATAGGGAACTAATACAGCTTCCAAACACAAGTGTACTGGCTACAATATGCCAGGGACACGGGAATGTGAAGGGTAGAGGAGCTCTGCCAGGGCCTTTTCTCCGCACGCTCCTCACCTCCCCAGCCAGCGTGGTCCCCGCCTCGGCCCTGCTCTGCACCAGCACCTATCAGTATCTACTCCACTTCTGAACACAGGCCCACTTCCCTCTGGGCAATGCCTCTCTAACTGGGTAAAACTTTTAAGAAAAGTCAAAAATAGACTCCCTTATCACCATCTCCTCTGGCCACACCTCCTTCTGAGTAATCAGAGAAGAAAGGCCTCCTAGCTTAACAGCAATGATAACAGAGGGCCAGAGGCAACCTGGAAACCTGAGTTAGATGCATTTGGCACAACCTTTTGGGGAGAGCAATGAGTTCAGTGCCATAATTAGTATGGAAAACATGTGAGAAGCATTATACCCAGGCCACTGCTTTGCCTGCAAACTTCCATGTTAGAGATTTGGCACATCCCCAAAGACAAAGGGGCAGATTCATGCCCCAAGGTGGGTGACCATTAGAAAAAACACTGCTACCTATCTCTTGCCCCTGTCAGGGCAGGAAGCAAGATAAACACCAGCTTCTAAATATCCTCTTACAAAACAACTATAGTATGATTGTTCACCCATTATTAAGTACCTTAAATGCTCTAGGAGTGTAGCTTGCAGAACAAGACCCAGGGTTACCCCTGAAGCCGTCCACCCAGGAATGCTCAGGACCAGGACAATGTAAGTGAGCAAATAAAAGATGGGCAGGAGTGGGTAAAGCTGGCCTCCAGGAGAGGTGGACACACCACTGCTCTGATACCGGTATGTTTACCCTGACTGAAAACTTAGAAGAACAAGTCATTTGAAGGACAAACATTTTCTAAGTTTCTCCTTTTAAAACTCAGCTGAAAATACCTCATAGTTCTTCAAAGAACAGTTGGGCTTTGTCACTTCCCATGTAGAGGAAATTCTGATGATCATGGGTCAAATCCAGAGACATCTTTTCCTTACATGAAAAGACAAACAGTACCCACCAGGAATCTGTGGGGACCATGAACCTCAGGGAAAGCTGCCCGTCAGATCTTTCCAGAATCTTCTGCATTTCAACATGCACACACGAGAAAGAAGCCAGTCACAAAAGGACAACTATTGTATGATTCCTCTTAGACTAGGTTCCTGTCAGAGTCAAATTCATGGAGACAGAAAGTAGTACAGTGGTCACCAGGAGCTGGAGAGGAGGGAATTGGGGAGTTTTTGTTTAACGGGTACAGAGTTTCAATTCTGGAAGAAGAAAAATTCTGAGGATAGATGGTGGTGATGACTGCACAATGACATAAATGTACTTAATGCCACTGAACTGCACTCTTAAAAATGGTTGAAAAGGTAAAGTTTATATTTTACCATTGAAGTATATTTTACCACAATTTTAAAAAACACCTTTAAACATATACACATACAGCACACAGCTCTACCACGGCTGTTGCATCACATGGAACGATGGCCATAGACACCTAAAATGTTCCTAATTTTGAAAGAATCCTTTCACTGGTTTCAAAGAAGATAGAGAAACAGGCATCTCAAGGAGCCCCCGGCACTGGGGACAGCCTCACCCTTGGTGACAGGTGGGCTCAGCTGCCTCTGAAAGGGCAGGCTTCACAGGGTTGGCATGGGTTGGGGGCAGTCCTGGGGCCCTACCTGGTTTGAAAGTGATGCTGGAGGTCGCAGCGCTGCAGTACCTCGGTGCAATGTCCTGTGAACGGGCATGTGACCATCAGCTTGTTGAGGAGCTTGTTGACCAGGATGCTGGACTTTCTGCAGTGCTGCAGAGCCAAGGGCTTGCGATCCACAGGGCAGAAATCCTTCTCCACCAGGAAGCTGGTGAGGCACAGTGTGCAGTAGGTGTGCCCACAGGGAGTGTCCAGAGGGTCCAGCAATGCTTGCAGGCAGATGTGGCACACGAGGTCATCATCTACTTCATCTGTGTAGGTGTAGCAGTGGTTTTCCTCAGGGGAGTGGGCTTGACCACACACCACACACAGGGGTGCAGGGCTGGACTCCGGGTCTTGCACAGGGTCTGGCTGGCTCATGGTCAACTGAGGGGACTGTATGACAGGAAGCCACCCCAGAAAAACAGTATTTCCTCGGGATAAAGTCAGGATCTTCTAGGAGCCATTCACAACCCTAAAAGAGAATAAGACGACTCAACTCTGTTTTCATAGCAAACTGAAGACTCCACTTGTTCTGGACGGAGACAGTGCCCAGTCCATGGGGTACTGAGCTATGTATGAGTAAGAAGGCTGGGGTTCACTGCCCCCTTTGGTGACATAATCCTGAGCAAGTGGCTTTGCCTTTACGCCTCAGTTTTACTGTCTATCCCAACAGGAATACTGTTTACTTTTAAGATCCTCATGCTGGTGTGGTAAAAATCATCTGGGTAATATCTGGGAAATGCCTACAGTCACTCAAAAGAAATAGGCCCTCAGAAGTTTAACTAGTTGAGAAGACCACCTGGATAAGTGATTTATAAAGTCCTGTGCCAGATCAGGACGAGAAGAAAAGCCACTAACACCTAATGGTTTTCTTTTGCCTTCCTTTCCCACCTTTCTCTCAAACTCAGAAAATGTAGGGCATCCAAGCTTTCAACTAAATTATCTAAGAAGAAATAAGAGCTGTTGAGTGTGTTGTATTTTTACTGTGGTGAAAGCATCGCTGTCTTCTGTGTGCATGTCATTCACTCAGTCTGTCAGCAATTCAGTGATTTGGTGGACTCCAGAGCCACACTGCTGGAGTTCAAATCCTACCACCACTGTGGGCCAGTGACTTAAGCCTCTATTTCCATATCTGTAAAATAGGGATAATAACAGCTTATCTCTTATCGTGAGGATTAAATGCGATATGACATAAAGTCCTTATAACTGTATAAGAATTATACAAATGATGCCTGGAATATAGTTTATGCTCAATTTATATTAACTACTACACTTACATGTATTTGTTACTGATTCATTTCGTCTCCAGTCCAGCTCAACTGGTCTGGAAACTGAAGGCTATAGTTCCTACAAAGGGTCTTTTTGCTTTGTTCTAACAGTACTAACAGTTTGAATACTACTCTTTTATTCAATTATATTTATATAAAGTGTTATAGATTGTATATGTTGATTAAATTATATATAATTATATATTTTTCAAACCAGTAGAATACTACCATACTATGTATTTTCCTTGGTATAGGAGTCCAAAATAATGGAGTTTTCAACATGCCTGGTTAACATCTAGGCAGTCTCTTGGAAAACCAATCAATACTTTTTGAGCACCAGCTCTGAGCTAGGTAGTAAGTGGGGTGTGGAGGAGACCTTCAGGAGAACTTTAAAGGGCACGACCCTGATCTCATGGAGTCAGTCCCCAGTCCAGTGGAGGTGGACATGAACACAAGTAATTAGGGGTCCAAGTAGCCAGTGCAAACACAGGTAGGTGCTCAGAGACTCTGCGCCACCTCATGACAATTAAGTATCCCACCCTCCCCAACTCAACTTCTTTCTTTTCTGAAAGCAAATGACAAGACTTTAAGCATCTCCCAAGAACACAAGGACATGAATAACCCAACAGGAAACTAACACCCTGGGAAACAGCACAGGAGGCATGAACTGGGCTGTGTCTTTTTTCTTTCCCAAATAAAGTCGGAGGCTGTTTCTATGAACACAGCCTTATCTCAAAAAGAAAATACATTGACTTCAAACTTTCATTGGGTCAGCTCTGTGTTTACATTTTTGTACTGTGCTAATATGCCTGAAAGAACACTGTGGTCAAGAGGTTGAAGTAAAATGCCCTGTATGTACAAACATTTGGAAATCATAACATTTAATGTCGCATCAAGAGACCACAGAAATCTAAGGTAGAGAGGGTACAGGACGGGGTGAAGCTGTTTCTAGCCCCGTTTCATGAAAACCTACACAGCTGCTATTTGTCCTCAAGGCTGATAGAAGGTACTGGAAATACACAGGAAGTGCTTTAAATGGCATGAAAAACAGATGAAAAATAAA